TTTACAACGCGTAAAAACGAACAAAAGCCAGCATTCGCGGTGAGCGCGTGTATAACCGCCTCCTACGCGATTGCTCGCCCGCGCGCCCAAAAAGGGATCCAATCGCCCTACCTGGCTCGACTGGTACCTGTTTCTCTCTCTCTCTCTCTCTCTCTCTCTCTCTTCCTTCCTTGCCGCGTGCGTATCTTTCTTTACACGAACTCGAATTCCGCGACCGCTGTTTGGGCGTGGGAAGAATCGCACAGACGAGAGAACAAACTTACGCGAGCCACGACCGTTTCGCCGCGAGGATGTTAGGTTAGGTTTGCCGCGGGAAGTATCTCGAAGAATACGTCGTCGATTCGTGGATCGATCCGCGCTCGACGACCGGAGAGAACGAGAGCTCACGGACGGACACACTCGCGACGAATTTCAAGAGGCGACACACGCACGGACGGCCGCGAGCCTTGTCCCTCTTCGGTAATTAATTCGCGTGGCACGCTCGTCCGCGACGGCTGACGGTGCCCACCGTCGTCGTTTAGCAAAGTCCGTCCGCGACGCAGCGGCTCGGTCGCCATTTTTGACTGACTGTCGAGCGAGTGACAGCGCGTAGGCGAAATAAAAAGAAGAGAGAGAGAGAGAGAGCTTGACCTCGCGACGTATCTGGCCAAGGCCGCTCTCCGAGCGTTCTGCAATTCGGCAGAGAGAAAGAACTCGACGCGTCTAAGTGCGGCGTTAAGCTGCTAAGTAACAGGTACCAGTAAGCGAGAAACTTAACTCCCTTATCAATCGTAAACTTCCGGTCGCACGATTATGCGCAGCGTAATCCAAAGTGACACCGCGGTATCTCGAGAGAGGTTAGATTAGGTTAGGAAGGAGAGCGATGGGAAATCCACCATCTTGCGGCGGAACTTTGAAAACGCGAGTGCGCGTATCCATCGAAAATGCGAAATGGGTTTAGCAATTAGTAGCTAATAAAATGGATGGTACTTAAGCAAAAGCGGATGAAATTCGAAGCGGTACACAATGCGCGATACAATGGAATTTCATTTGAAATTTAATTCGAAATTTTCTCCGTGAACGAGGAGAGGTCCAATTGCGCGGTTTTTGCGAAACGCCGAAATTATATTCTTGCGTTCTCTCTCTCTCTCTCTCTCTCTCTCTCTCTCTCTCTCTCTCTCTCTCTCTCTCTCTCTCTCTCTCTCTCTCTCTCTCGGCCGGTATTTGCCCAATTATTTATTCCGCGTTCTCGCCTCCTCGCTTCGAATGGTATTAACACTCTCGCCTTCGTTTCCACGTAGTTTTACGTCTTTTCCCTGCTAGAAACTAGCAGTCGCACACATATACTTATGTTTACACTGCCTGGAAGCAGGAGCTGCTTGCGTATCTTTATGTGTTTGCGTTGTGAAAGGCCGCTTCAAATGATGCGTTTACTCGGCAAATATTCGTCAAACCGATACGGCTCTCGCGCGCGAATACGTAGGAATAATAACGCGTGTCGACACGGCGATGTTTTAATTTTAATTGAACACGACAATGCGGCGAACTTCATCATACAAATGCAGCACATTTACATTCGCCGAATATTTGCCAAGTAGTCGCATTTGTCCGGAGTCATTTCAAAAGGCGGCTATTCGCGCTGGATGTTGCGCATTTGCATTTCAGTTGTAATATATTTATGCTATATTTATGCATTTCGGTATTTGCATAGGCGAACTCGGCAAATGGACCGGCCCCATCATTGATACGCTTCTATGTGAATGACGATGAATATACAAATACGATTTCGTTACTTTACATAAACGTATTATATTACAAATTTAGTTTAGTTATGTTTTAAACATGAAAAAGAGTGCATTGGATATAATAGACCCTCTCTCACACTCTCACACTCTCTCTCTCTCTCTCTCTCTCTCTCTCTCTCTCTCTCTCTCTCTCTCTCTCTGTCTCTCTCCCTTTCTCTCGATATCTCATCCGTTTCTATCTCGGACCACACAAACCTTCTCGCGGCTATTATCCGCGAAAAACTGCTGGCTAAATAGTTCTGCGATGAATGAGTCGATAATGCGGCTCCTCGAAACTTAATTCGAGCAATCGGAAGGCGACTCGGCGACTCGATTCAGACGAACGAGTGGCTCGTCGAGAGAGGAGCGTTTTTCTCAAGACCAAAGCCTCTCAACACCAAGCGGACCAAATTGGTCACGACGCTGCATCTCGTACGGAAAGCACTCGTTCGCATAGTAATCGTTCGCGCAGCTCCGAGACGCGCATAGTATGCATACACAAACACACACACATACGCACATATACAGCAACTCCTTTACTGATACTTTCGCCCCCGCCTCCTGCGCGTGTCGGAACGTCTTTAAAAAGTACCCACGGAGGTTCACAACGCTTCGCAGTCGCCTTTAAAATATTGATAACCGATGTGCGCGCGCGACGCGAATGAAAACAAACGCGCGTGCCGTGACCGGCGAAATGCGTCCGCGCGCGATCGTCCGTTTACGCGCGAGCTCGCGAA